GCACAGAACCACTTACCATCTGTCTGATTGCGGAACCATACTGAATACTCTCTATAGTAAGCCCAGGAAGTGGTTGAGTTAATGCCTCCAACAACTCCACAACATTCGAACTGTTGGAGAGAAATAAACCAAGTTAATCATGACTACATTACTACAAATAACAGCACCACTGGGAAAATAGCAGGTAAGTGTCAGCGAAGTCAAAGTAAAGAAACTTTTTTCACGCCTTCACGCCTATTGTGCTCACAGGGCTAGCCTTTTATTTTATAGACCAATCGCTACTCGGTGGGTGATGTGGTTAACAGTACACCGGTCGTCTTTGCTTCCCAAGACACTACCCGGTATCCATTTAATACTAGGAGCGACGGTCATTTAAAAAAAAATATTTCGGCTTGGTCAGGATCCGAACCGACGATCTTCAGATCTACAGGCCAATGTCTAGCTGCTACACCATGGTTTCTTCTGCAGGAAAGAATGGTTAGCTAAAATTAGTAGCAAATGAATACTAAGAGCATGTTCTCCCCAACATCAAAACTTAATTAAGGGTTGAGTAAATTCATAATCATGTTCATCGTGTGCCACGCCGATGTATATAGGCGGTCATTTTTCCCAAAAACAAACCATTACTAGAAGCAGGAGAATTGCGTGGTCTCGAGGCATAGTGTCTGCCCTTAGTGCTTGAGGTTTTGGTTCAATCCATGGTAAGGGCTGGGATTTTTCCACGTGGACTTGAACTTCTATTAATTTCTCCTGGTCTCTGGGTAGTGAGGTCGGACGCCCGTGTGCATTTTTGCGTACGTAAAAAGTCCCTTGGCAGTTGGAAATCAAAAAGAGTAGCCATACGGCGCGGCCCGGGCAAACATTTATATTTAAAAATCTACCCAAAGTATTTCAGGATCCTCGCTGGTGCTACAGAGCCTGTGCACTGTGTTTAGCTTCTTTGGACTCAGACTTGGGTTAGAAGAAGAACGGAGAACTTACGGGTTACTAGCCGTGTGCCATGATGTTGATCCGTTGTTCAAACCTCAAACCTCACTAGAAGCACGGATCAGGCTAGTGATACCGTCTCGACCCATCCGTGTGACCAAGCCATCCATGTATTGCTATCTCTGCATTCTCCTTGCTCTCTTTCTAACCTGTCTTGCTAGTGATGTCCAGGCAGCAGAGAAGGAATAAAATAACATGACATTATCACTAATGTGAAGCATGTGAAAGAAACTTAGCACATTTGCTGGATTTGATGAAATGCTGTTGGAGCCGAATAATCAACACTGAAAACATCTAGAACATTACCAACCTAGTGCCGACTGGTCTGTGAAAAAAATATGGGTGCTCTTCCCATATGCCTAATGCGCCTAGAGGCGTAAAAAAGGATCTTTACTTTACTACGAACAGAAAACACCTGGTAATGTCATAATTAGAAAATATATTTTTTTTTCCTGGAATCTGCAGGGCAAAGTGGTCAAGCCGTTTGCCTCACGCTCTGAAGGTCGTGGGTTCGTTTCACAACGGCCCGATCAGTTCACGAGTGCAACATTTACGGAGATCACTGAGGATCGATGCCAGAGCTAGGGAGATCGTGCTCTTTGCGACGTTCTCGGCAGGCAGCTAGCTGTTCCGTGGAGAGAGAGTGAGTCATATAGGATAAAGCCCGGCGCAATGAAGTCGATCCTTTCACTTTTACCTTTTACGTGGAACTGGCAAAAAAAAAAAAAAATGAAGAGGGCAGTAAGGAAGCAGTTGAAATAAACGGAGAATATAATTACAAATACATTAATAACGCGGAAAGGACAGGATAGATGGACATATAAATAAGCTTTTCTTGTTTTAATTAGGGGCATATTCTCAGTTGGATTATAACAGGCAGAAAAAAAAAAAAAAGAAGAAGAAGAAGAAGAAGAAGAAGAAGAAGAAGAAGAAGTAGAAGAAGAAGAAGAAGAAGTAGAAGAAGAAGAAGACGAAAAATGAGAAGAAGA